CCAGTGAGAGTTAAGGTGCAGGACCGACGGCTTTACGTGCTCTCCGAGGCACGAGGGTGAAACACCGCCAACTTCCCAACTCCGGGCTGTTATTGAAGCTTAACATACAGAAAGACTCAATAGCTAAACTTGGCCCGACACGGGACTTGAACCCAGGACCTCCGGGTGTGCAGTCGTACATGCTAGCCACTACATCACCGAGGCAGTTGATTTTTAGCATAAGAATAAGGAAATTAATGAGAAAATTAATGTTATTGTTATGAGAAAATCTAGGGTGAGGTGATCGATATCAGTTGTTATAAAATATATTCCATTGGTACGACTGCTTAAAGCAGAATTAGTATAAAAATAGTATGCAAAGCACTCCACGATTTTTCACAATAACATTAATTTTCTCGTTAATCACTTTATTTTTATATTAAAATAATATTTTACATTTTACGTGGTTCTTATTAAAGCGTGTTTTATTAGTTTTTTAAATTATGTTTATATAATATATTCCTTTAAGGCAGTGGTAGCCCAGTGGTAACGCGCTCGCTTGGAAAACCGAGTGATGCGGGTTCAAATCCCGGGTCTCGCACCTCTGATATTTTCATGTGCGAATCATTTCTAACATGATGACCACTTGCCTTACGGTGAAGGAAAACATCGTGAGGAAACCTGCATGTCTGAGAGAACCCAGCGAGTTTCGAAAGACATGTGAAGTCCGCCAACCCGCACTTGGCCAGCGTGGTGGACTATGGCCTGATCCCCCTCGTATTGAAGAGAGGCCCGTGCCCAGCAGTGGGACGTTAAAAAGGGCTGAATACAATATATTCCTTTAGCTATTGAATATTATTATCTCCCGTAATTTGTATTTAATAACTTATTTCATTATATTATGGTATGAATATCATTATTTTGCTGAAAGGTAATAAAATATGCCTTGCGGCGATACCAAGAATTTACTTTGACTAATGTTGACAGAAAATGTATTGAAAATTCTACTCAAAAAATACTATAGTAATATTTGATTTCAATTTTGATTTTGATGAAAAATATTTTTAATATCTTAATTTGTAATTTTTATTCTCCTTCAGATAGCCTTTTTCAATTAGAGGAACAATTTTGAGAAAATTTTGATGCTGAGCTTTCAAACTTTTTTTCAATACCTGCCTTACCAGTACGTGCGGCTAAAAAAACTGATCTGATGTTATTAGTCTTTATCTTAGCCATGATATTTCATAAGCTAAAAAAGCTTTATAACACATAGTAATATTGCAAAGTATTATGTATAATTTTAATATGGTTTCACTTTACCATGATAATATAATAATCAATCATGATCGTGTCAAAAGCTCACGTTTCATCATAAAATCGTTATATTCAATGCTATTTTGGAAGCTGTATAGTTTTATAAAATGTTCGATGAGCTTTAGTGGCGTATATTATAACCATTATATGTTTTCCAATACGTGATCGAGCCCTTTGTTACAAAGTAAATAAACAACTTTTACCTTCCCTCTTACCGACCTCTTAAAGTCCCTTGGTGGCGACCTTTCTAATATTTCTTTATATTCATATACTTAGTATCAGTTTCCTTCAATCAATATCGAGTAAAATTCTTACTTTTAGTATTTATTACACATATAAAAAATTGTTTGCTGGTTTGTTTTTTATAGATTGGAGGAAAAGATGGATGGTTTTTTAACAGACTTTTGAGTTGTTGTAGGTACATTTAATCTGTATTATATTTAAATATGATATAAGAGCCAAAGTGTGCTTACAATATGCCTTTTATCGCGTTCAAGTACTTTTAGTGAGAAATGATTATCCAGGATTATAAAACAAAATAGATAAAAGCAACGAGTATTTCTATCGTTTTCAAAGTTAAATCATTCTCTCTAAAATCTGAACTGGTTTAGAAAAAAAACTACTTTGAATGATTGTTAATAAAAAAAACAATAATTTTCTATGTCTATTTATTAAGTAACGTAAATGCTATCTAAAATCACACTGTGACCCTTAAAAGCGAAGCAATAACACAAAATAAGCTTATTTATATGAATGTGTTCGCCAAAAATAGAATCTAGATCTATATAAAAAAAAATGTTTAAATTTTTTTTTACTAATAACACTAAACTTGTCAATACCTACTGCACAATAACTGTTTGGTAGTTTTCATTTACTATACATACCTAATCAAATATTTTCGAAGTCGGTGTGCTTTGCTTTGTATGGGCTGGCACCGACTTCGAAAATATTTGATTAGGTATGTATTTAATAGGTAGGCTTTAATTACTACTATATGATATCAGAAGTAATTAAATATAAAACATGTGAAGACTCATCATATTTTATGTAATATTAGCAATGTGCATATTTTATTACAAAAAAAAACCTAAAACCACTTGTAAAACCAGCGCCGGATTCAACATTAGCGCCGCCCCTGAGCACTGTAAGAAATACTGCCCCATTATTGAAATGTTGCATAAAATGGATAAAGCTTTGAAAAGGTTATTTTTTTTATTATTAATTTTTGAAAAAGGCAATAAAGTACTTTGTAAGTGTTTTCCATTTTTCGAAAAATGTGCTAGTAATTTTTTTTATTATTATATTTATTTTTTTGGAAATTAAAAAAAACATTTTCGAAAACGCGAAGATTTTTTTTATCCTTCGAATTTTAGCCCCTTCCCTGAAAATTTGCCGCCCTGGGCACTAGCTCCGAGTGCCCCTAGTGTAAATCCAAATTTTTGAGGTCAGCTACAAGTAACATTTAATTCTTGAAATACCTATTTATAATGTCCACTTAAACTCTATTTTATATTTATTAAATGTTAACACATTCTTACACGTCATTATTATAATAATATGTGAATGTACAATACGTATATGCAGATGCATTAAAAATATAGATCGAAAATGATATATGTAGTTTTTATTTGTCATTAATATTTAAAATGGAGAAATTGTATATCTTGTATCAAAGTGTCGTAATATACTCGTAGTACCTAGTCTAGTTTGTTGACTGTTATCAGCCTTCTATGTTTTGAAAGACACATTTGTGTAACCAACTCGTTAGAGACATGCCCCAGATATGTAAGTTAGAGGACTTAATTGTACACTATTAATATAAAGTTTGTAAGATAAAGTTACACTAAACTTGGACATCTCGTATCTCGCATCTACTATATGAAATATTATTTGTATTTTAGCAGAGGGTATTAAACTATGTCTAAATGAGTTTAAACTTATTTTATTCTAGCGACTCACGCTCGCTCCGCTTGGGTTCGTCCCTAGGTACGTTTTAACGGTTAGTATTGATTTCTTAGAGTTGAGTAGCCAGCAAATTTCATCGAAATCTGTCCAGTGGTTTTATCGTGATGCGTTCCCAGACAGACAGATATAAATTTGAAAAACTATATGACGATAGCTATAACTGTATAAGTGTATCAATAATAATGACAATTTCAATAAGATTTTTCGGAAAATAATAGGGGTTAAAGTATGAAATTGCCGATTTGTACTGAAAAATTAAAATTCGTTTTTTTTTTAATTTAACATATTTATTTAATCAAAATAATTACCATTATTATCTGTACATTGCTGCCATCTACTAGAAAGGTCATTTATGCCTTTGCGATAGTGTGCAAGCATTTTGTACTGCCTCCTGAGAAGAAAACTTTTATCACGTAGAAAATTGTTCAAATCACGAAAAAAATGGTAGTCCGTTGGAGCAAGGTCTGGCGAATACGGAGGGTGACGAATGGTTTCTAGTTGCAGTTCCTGTAGAGTTAAAAAGGTTTCTCATGCTGTATGAGGTCTCGCGTTATAATGGAGCAATAATGGTGAAGATCGATTCATGAGTCGGGGCTGTTTTACTGCTAGTTTTGCAATCATTGTTCAGAGTTCGGCACAGTAGACATCTGCTGTTATTGCTTGACCAGATCGGAGAAAGCTATAGTGAATAACACTATGCTGAGACCACCAAACAGTTACCATTACCTTTTTATTGGTAAGCTTTGTTTTAGGACACTGTTGCGGCGTTTGACCTGCTGGGGTCAGCCATTGCATTTTTCGCTTACGGCTATCGTAAAGAATCAACTTTTCATCACATGTCACAATTCCATCCAATATTCCTTCATTTCTGTATCGATTCAACCAGGCAACACAAGTTTCAACATGCGTTTCTTTCTGAAGATCAGTCAAATCATGAGGCACCCATTTTTCATATTTTTTTATTTTATTGATTTGACGCAAATAAGTCAATATTGTTGGTACGCTAACGTTAAACCATGCCGCTAATTCCTGGGTAGTTTGGCTCGGATCGGCTTCCACCAATTCTTTCAATTCATTGTTATTCACCTGTGTGAGCGGCCTTCCACGTAGATCGTTCTTTAAATCAAAGTTTCCATCACGAAAGCGTTTAAACCAAAATCGCACGGTGCGTTCATTAGCAGTCCCCTCTCCAAACGCAACATTGATATTGCGAGCTGTTTCTGCCGCGTTAGTTCCGCGTCGACACTCGTATTCAAAAATCACTCGAATTATCGAAGTATCCATCTTTTTTGTCTAAGCTGAATAAAAAAAAAACAACTGAAAGTCGATAATCAAATGTTGCACATTTTTTAAAAGAAGAACTACATAGGTACCATGTGAAAAAAGTTTCACCCAAAAATCTCAAACTATGAAGGTTCTATGTCAATTCGAAGTACCTATTACAATATAACGGCAATTTCATACTTTAATTCCTATTATTTAATGTACAGGTTCGACTCCGTTAGAATTTTATTATATGTACAGATATCATAAAAATCGGTACACCCGAAACTCAAACTTCAACAAATAAAAATAATCAAAAATAAAAATAAACTTCTTGAATTTCTTCTCGTCTCAATTCAATTTAAGTCTTAGAGAAATAGTTAACTTTCTACAAATTGGTATTTTAGTATTATATCATTATATAGACTTATTCGATTTTTAATTAGGATTATTTTACGCATTACATATTATGTCACTTATTGCTGTGTTTGATTGTTGACATAAGTTGCCTGCTTGGACAAGACACAAGTGCACTTTCTATTCCTGTCACTCTCATACTCTGGTGGGACGACCACTCGACACGACCAGTGAGAGTTAAGGTGCAGGACCGACGGCTTTACGTGCTCTCCGAGGCACGAGGGTGAAACACCGCCAACTTCCCAACTCCGGGCTGTTATTGAAGCTTAACATACAGAAAGACTCAATAGCTAAACTTGGCCCGACACGGGACTTGAACCCAGGACCTCCGGGTGTGCAGTCGTACATGCTAGCCACTACACCACCGAGGCAGTTGATTTTTAGCATAAGAATAAGGAAATTAATGAGAAAATTAATGTTATTGTTATGAGAAAATCTAGGGTGAGGTGATCGATATCAGTTGTTATAAAATATATTCCATTGGTACGACTGCTTAAAGCAGAATTAGTATAAAAATAGTATGCAAAGCACTCCACGATTTTTCACAATAACATTAATTTTCTCGTTAATCACTTTATTTTTATATTAAAATAATATTTTACATTTTACGTGGTTCTTATTAAAGCGTGTTTTATTAGTTTTTTAAATTATGTTTATATAATATATTCCTTTAAGGCAGTGGTAGCCCAGTGGTAACGCGCTCGCTTGGAAAACCGAGTGATGCGGGTTCAAATCCCGGGTCTCGCACCTCTGATATTTTCATGTGCGAATCATTTCTAACATGATGACCACTTGCCTTACGGTGAAGGAAAACATCGTGAGGAAACCTGCATGTCTGAGAGAACCCAGCGAGTTTCGAAAGACATGTGAAGTCCGCCAACCCGCACTTGGCCAGCGTGGTGGACTATGGCCTGATCCCCCTCGTATTGAAGAGAGGCCCGTGCCCAGCAGTGGGACGTTAAAAAGGGCTGAATACAATATATTCCTTTAGCTATTGAATATTATTATCTCCCGTAATTTGTATTTAATAACTTATTCTAGGTACGTTTTAACGGTTAGTATTGATTTCTTAGAGTTGAGTAGCCAGCAAATTTCATCGAAATCTGTCCAGTGGTTTTATCGTGATGCGTTCCCAGACAGACAGATATAAATTTGAAAAACTATATGACGATAGCTATAACTGTATAAGTGTATCAATAATAATGACAATTTCAATAAGATTTTTCGGAAAATAATAGGGGTTAAAGTATGAAATTGCCGATTTGTACTGAAAAATTAAAATTCGTTTTTTTTTTAATTTAACATATTTATTTAATCAAAATAATTACCATTATTATCTGTACATTGCTGCCATCTACTAGAAAGGTCATTTATGCCTTTGCGATAGTGTGCAAGCATTTTGTACTGCCTCCTGAGAAGAAAACTTTTACCACGTAGAAAATTGTTCAAATCACGAAAAAAATGGTAGTCCGTTGGAGCAAGGTCTGGCGAATACGGAGGGTGACGAATGGTTTCTAGTTGCAGTTCCTGTAGAGTTAAAAAGGTTTCTCATGCTGTATGAGGTCTCGCGTTATAATGGAGCAATAATGGTGAAGATCGATTCATGAGTCGGGGCTGTTTTACTGCTAGTTTTGCAATCATTGTTCAGAGTTCGGCACAGTAGACATCTGCTGTTATTGCTTGACCAGATCGGAGAAAGCTATAGTGAATAACACTATGCTGAGACCACCAAACAGTTACCATTACCTTTTTATTGGTAAGCTTTGTTTTAGGACACTGTTGCGGCGTTTGACCTGCTGGGGTCAGCCATTGCATTTTTCGCTTACGGCTATCGTAAAGAATCAACTTTTCATCACATGTCACAATTCCATCCAATATTCCTTCATTTCTGTATCGATTCAACCAGGCAACACAAGTTTCAACATGCGTTTCTTTCTGAAGATCAGTCAAATCATGAGGCACCCATTTTTCATATTTTTTTATTTTATTGATTTGACGCAAATAAGTCAATATTGTTGGTACGCTAACGTTAAACCATGCCGCTAATTCCTGGGTAGTTTGGCTCGGATCGGCTTCCACCAATTCTTTCAATTCATTGTTATTCACCTGTGTGAGCGGCCTTCCACGTAGATCGTTCTTTAAATCAAAGTTTCCATCACGAAAGCGTTTAAACCAAAATCGCACGGTGCGTTCATTAGCAGTCCCCTCTCCAAACGCAACATTGATATTGCGAGCTGTTTCTGCCGCGTTAGTTCCGCGTCGACACTCGTATTCAAAAATCACTCGAATTATCGAAGTATCCATCTTTTTTGTCTAAGCTGAATAAAAAAAAAACAACTGAAAGTCGATAATCAAATGTTGCACATTTTTTAAAAGAAGAACTACATAGGTACCATGTGAAAAAAGTTTCACCCAAAAATCTCAAACTATGAAGGTTCTATGTCAATTCGAAGTACCTATTACAATATAACGGCAATTTCATACTTTAATTCCTATTATTTAATGTACAGGTTCGACTCCGTTAGAATTTTATTATATGTACAGATATCATAAAAATCGGTACACCCGAAACTCAAACTTCAACAAATAAAAATAATCAAAAATAAAAATAAACTTCTTGAATTTCTTCTCGTCTCAATTCAATTTAAGTCTTAGAGAAATAGTTAACTTTCTACAAATTGGTATTTTAGTATTATATCATTATATAGACTTATTCGATTTTTAATTAGGATTATTTTACGCATTACATATTATGTCACTTATTGCTGTGTTTGATTGTTGACATAAGTTGCCTGCTTGGACAAGTTGTGTTTCCCTAATCGATATCGCTACGAAATAATATGAAAATAATGTGATAAGATAGAATCACATAATGCGATTTAATGAAATAATATACTGATTCCATACATTTATTAATTTTCTAGTGGCGGAGAATATTGTCTCTGATTATACATATGTATGTAAAATGTACATACGTATGGATAACGCAGCTTTTTAGAAGATTTTTATTTCTTACATATAAACCAAAAACAAATTCGTCTTTTTCATATTAATTTCAGATAGTAATCCACAAAAACTTAGTACAATATAAGTGATTAAGACAACACCAGAGTGCTGCAACGGTCAAGATGTTCTACCTTATCTGGTATCTATAAGGTCTTATCTACCCACAACTTGGAACATCAAAGCGGTTTATTAACATAATATGTTGATTACTCCATAGAACATATTAGTCTAGAACTGATTGTACGTATATGGAGATGATAATTATCTTTTTAATTTAAAAAACATACATGGATTTTTTAAATATATTTAATTGAAAGTTTCCTTGATATTTTAATTACATTTTTAACTATCAATCTGTTTTAGCATATGATTAATTTTAACTTGACAAAGAGAAGGATTGTTTTCTAAAAAAATAATATTTTAAACATACTTCTCAAAAAATTATTAAACCTAGTGTACCTACATATCAATAGGAAATTATAGAAATACTTTTTTTTTAACGTTGGGAAATGCACTTACGTACGACGTGTGGGACTCACCGGCGTAATACAGCCAGTATTACCCACTAAAACCCAACAAAACCTTCCTCAGTCTTAATGGGGCGTCGCAGGATCGCTTACGCATTCAACTACGACGCCCCGACGGCAGGTCTGCCGAAGCAGATCACAACAACCACGGGGTTGCTCCAAGGTCCACTCTGCTATCAGAGAAGTATCAGGAGCAACCCGCATGGTACACCACCCTCCGAAGAGGGCCGCCTCCCACCGCCCACCGAAGCGGGCCACCTCCCTGTGCGTTTTTTGGCTTCGCGCCCGGTTGTATTGCCGGGCACTACTGAGCCCCCCCCACCACGACAAGGTGAACGGTGAAATTATAGAAATACTAGCTGAACCTAACCTTTTTTTTTTTTTTTTTTTAACGTTGGGAAATGCATTTACGCACGAAGTGTGGGACTCACCGGCGAAGCCAGTACTACCCACTAAAACCCAACAAAACCTTCCCCAGTCTTAATGGGGCGTCGCAGGATCGCTTACGCATTCAACTACGACGCCCCGACGGCAGGTCTGCCGAAGCAGACCACAACAACCATGGGGTTGCTCCACGGTCCACTCTGCTATCAGAGAAGTACCAGGAGCAACCCGCATGGTACACCAACCTCCGAAGAAGGCCGCCTCCCACCGCCCACCGAAGCGGGCCACCTCCCTGTGCGTTTCTTGGCTTCGCGAGTACACTACTGAGCCCCCCCACCACGACAAGGTGAACGCACGTTGGGGGGGAGCTGAACCTAACCTAACCTAACCCGCGGCTTTGCTTGCGCTAAAATAAATAAAATCTCTAAAATAATAGTTTCATTCAAACTTTCAATCCCCTATTTCACATCCATATAGGATGAATTTCGAAAAATGTTAAAACCCGTATTTATTAATTTGTACTGAACAATATTAATACCAATTTTCAAGTAATTATGATCACAAAAAAAATTGGTTTGTATTATATCGTGTTTTCTCGTAGGAATAAAATAATCTTCCGCGGTAAAAAGTGGCCTATGTCACTCTCCAGCCCTCCAACTATCTTCACACAAAAAATCACGGCAATCCGTCACTCTATTTCTATGTGAAAGAAGGACAAACAAACACTCTTTCACATTTGTAATATTACTATGGATATTCTGTAACAGCTCTATATAATTTGAATACTACACCACATGTCAGTACGTAGTTAGCAAACATTGAGATATAAGATTTCAATCTCTTGATTGCGCCGACTATTCCATTAGCAATATTGTTACTTTGTTGAATACACCGCAAATAAGCTCTACAGTAGTGGTTAATGAGTGCATTGCAAATGTGCGGACAACTTGTGGGTAATTAAGCTCATTGTTTACTATGATTATTATCTAAAATAGGCTATAATATTTATCTATTTTTATATAGGTTTGTATAGTGTATTGTTTTTAAGCACTTTTAAGTGATGTTTGTGTTTGACTGGCATTAATGTATGTGCTTGCTAGATGTGAAAATTAAAGAAGCAATATTACAAACAAAAAATATAAATCTAAATTAAAAACATAAAAGAGTTACAAGAACCTATCCTGGCTTCAGCCTCGATGGTATGAAATTGTTGTATTATACAGTAGTAAATACAGTATTTTTAATACCATTAATATAAATAAATATTGAATAAATATTTTGGGACTTTAACTCACAGCACCATCTGGTTCCATGGTAAGCTACGAGACTGGTGTTATGGATACCAGATAGTTGATAGACTACACATATATAAATTTTAAATACATATATATATATATACATTGTAAATATAAACACCCATGACTGGAGTACAAATATTCATGCTCATCACACAAATGAATGCCCCCAGCGGGATTCGAACCCGTGACCGCTGGCACAGCAAGCACTGCAAACTGAGCCAAACGTGTCGTCATCATGAAAGAATGTCATATCTTGGAGAAAATAAATTTTATTAGAAATTGTATGTTTACCTTTTATATTTTACTATATTGTTAAAAAGTAAAAACTATAAATGATATGTAAGTAAAACAACATAAAATAAGATTACTCATTTAAAAAGTATTTAAATTGTCCTATTAAAGCCATTATGAACTTCACATTCAAATTTCACATCACCTTGTTCATTTCAGTAAAGGACAGAATATCAAATAACATATTTTTTTTGCGTATAAGTTTTTTTTCCACACGGCATTGAACTGACGGATCCTCATTCCCATATTGATGAGTTGACGAGTCAGTTTTGCCACGTTTGTGATAAAAACATAAGACGCATGGCCGATGTAGATACTATTTTGAGTTAACCAATTTATTTTCGATGGAATTAGTACTGTCGCTGCGTAAAATGAAATCGAATAATTATAATGCTATTACATTAGTGTATAGAGTACGTCACAATATATTTATATGATCTGCAAATATAACGATGTGATGTTAAACAAAACTCAATGAACAGGAAAATATGCACAAAATGAGAGGGAAAATCCTTACAATAGATAAAATATCCATATAAAATAGCTCATATCCTTTGAATACATATTATTTTATCTATAGGTATATTAATACGTGAAGAGAAAACTTTGAACCCCTTTTTAAGTGTATTACATGTATGGAGGAGGATGAGCTTTGGCATAGTTAAAGTTTATATAGAGGACTGCAGAAAGCCAAAATTAATTGACTTTATTTTACCTGCGAAACCGCTCGTGCATTTTATTTATATATAATTACTTCAGTGCTAAAAGATGTAGCATTATGTTAGGTAACCTTCATCAATATTATACGAGTACGAACATAATATAAATAATTTGTTTGTCTGTTCGTGCAAATTCCTGAATCTATGGGCCCGTTTCAAAATTCTTTTGGATTTTATAGGCTATCTATATAACTTTGAAAAAAGAATCTTAAACCTTCGAACTGAATGAATTATGGTTGATTTTCAACCACGAGGTGATCACTAGTAATATTAAATGAGTATTATTTTTTATTTACGATTTTTTTTATTACTTGAGACTTTCTCTGGCTCTGAGAAACCAAAACGTACAAACGTATACGTATTCTGATACACAAGCTATATTTACCCAAAATTACTTATTACTACTGTGCTGTTCAGTAATAAATCTTAAAGTTTTTGTTAAAGATTATGCGTCTCATTTCCTACGATGACGGACTTAAGCTATAAAAAATTTACAAGTGTGCTTACCAGAACCCATCAAAGATTAAACTATTAATAATGTAATGTTATATTTTATTCATATAGATTAAATAATTTTTTGTAATTAACATAAGTGTTTGGAGATGGACATTTAATATTTATGTCTACCAATAACTGACCAATTTCATTACTAGGAAATAGATTCCTAGTTGTTTTTATATTTTGTATGTGTGTTACTTAGCATATGGCAAATCTATTATAGTATGATGATTCTTGTTTAAATAAGTAAAAAAAATCCGACCGTAAAGGAAAGATAACTTTTGAAGTCACTGTAACTAAATAAATACCTAATTATAAAACTCGTATTTCCGTAAAGTTATTTCTTGTAAACTTTGTCTTAGATAATCTCTCTATCATCTTTATATTACATTACGTAATTTGTCAAGAGCGTATGCGTTTTATAGTAATTGTTTGTTTTTTGCTTTAGCCCGTTTAGTCGCCAGATTTTCAGCGATCTGCGTTTAGGAAGTTAACAGCGCCGATTCAGTAAAAACCCCAGATCTTGTTTTTATTCTATTCAGTGGGATTTGTACACAACTTTAACCTAATTAATTATTTTTTTAGTATCGGATAGACTAGAATAAAAAATAATTCTAACAATTACCCACAAATATGCACGTAAGTCTTTAGTTTGGGCGTTGAGCAAATAATGAATGCGACATAATATGTATACCTACATAATGCAAAAATGTAAAAAATAGACGTACATCCTATTTCTTCATTATTAGTAGTAATCTTAATTCCTACGAAAATTTTGATACCGCTTTAATCTTTTGAAGTACTTAAGTTTAAATTTTGAAATAAATAGTACTTACTAACTTCTTTTCATTAAAAAATATTATATCTCACATACAATCTGTAATTTCCTTTGATCCCATTCACATTGTTATAATATTTATTATATTTTAACATACTTTATAAGTATAATATGCTAGTTTTTTTAAATTTAACCCGATTATGAAATAATAATTTTACAGAGTATTTAATATATTATGAACACTAGTTAAATAGATTGGTAATAATTATATTTGCAAGCATAAATGAATCTGTTTTTATATATATTCATGAATCTACTAAATTATGTTCATATAAATGAAAATAAATTCATATGTGGAAGATTCAAGCTATTTTATTAATTACTTTAATCAATTCGAGCGTGTTTCACGAAGCAAGAGTACAGTGATGTCGCGAACTCTAATTGAAATTACTGTTACGTACACTATCTATCCGGGGATTACAGATTATACCTAGTTAACTTTGTTATCGAATGAAATAGTTTGATAGTTAGCTACTCAAGCTATAACGCTACATATTATTTCAGATATGACTATCATAAAAGTTAAACTTAAATATAATGTTATATAGGGCGCAATCATTAAAACTCATGTACTGGATCCACACATATGTATTTCGACTTCCAGGATGAATAGTGTTTAAGTATAATAATTAACAAATTATTAAAGGAATCAATGGTCACGAGTTGAGTGAGTGGCGTACGTCGGCGGGGCGCGTGTAAAACGTAACGCGGTTACTGGCTCACTGCCGGGGTGGAAGCGCGGGCGCCGTCAGGCGCACGGAAACGCGGGGAGCGTCGCGGGGGACAAGGGCGAATAGGGACGTTAGGTGCGGCGGGTATATTACTACGCGCTATAGCCTCCCCCTCCAAGTCACAAGGACGACCCGGCTGTGACTTGGTTGGTCGGCCACGCCGTCTCTGATGTACAATGGCTTTAGAAGACCCTACATACGGCGTTAAGGCACTGGCATGGTATTTGCCCTTAACATGTCCTTGGCTATCGGACACTACCAAAGACGAAGGACTGGCTATTTGAGATATGCGATAAGGTCCCTCCCGTCTTGGCGCGAACTTACTACTAAACCCCTTTGAAGCGTTGCTAACTAAATGTGCCTCCACCAGCACAAGATCACCCAATTTATAAGATGGAGAACTCCTGCGATGCTTATCATATGTCCTCATGTTCTTAAAGTAGTATCTTTCTTTTATTTTACGTAACGTGCGTTCTAAACCCAAATGTCCAGCAGTAGGCGCATCATGTAGCTCTCTCATGAGCTCGGCCTTCAATGCTTCTGGAATTACCAGCTGGGGTTCTTCGGACTCGCCATCCGGATCACACCGATATAGAATACCTTGAGAAAGATAATAACCTCGATCAGACCAGCGTAAAGCTTCGTCAGCGTGATCAGGCTGCTCAAAAGCTAATATAACTTTATTGACGTCAGGATCATTAATCTGAGCTTCACGAATGTCCTCAGGCTTCTGACGTGGTAAATCAACAGCTACCGGGCAAATATCACAAGAGTCGGACTGGAACTCTTCAGAACTAACAGGACGGCTTAACGTATCCGCCACCACATTGATTTTCCCGGGTGCATAATCTATATCCAAATTATATGATTTGATTTTCATAGCCCAGCGGGCTAGTCTTCCACTTGGAGTTTTTAATGTTAACAACCACTTAAGTGGCTGGTGATCAGTGGCTATTTTCACTGGAGATCCCTCGACGTATCCTCTAAACTTCTCCAAAGCCCATACAACCGCCAGAGCTTCGCGCTCTGTCGTATGATAATTGCGTTCTGCAGAGGTTAGCAATCTGCTCGCATATTCTATGGGTCTCTCGTCCTTAATGTCTTCACCTTGCATAAGAACAGCCCCTAAGGCATACGCACTAGCGTCAGTTCGGAGGATGAAAGGTTTTTCAAAGTCTGGCTGTCTAAGAATGGGACTGGTGGTAAGCCGTAACTTAAGCTCATCAAAAGCTCGTTGCTCACTCTCCCCCCATTGCCAGCGTCTAGTCTTCTTTGTCAAATCTGTGAGACATCGCGCTACATCCGAAAACTGCGGGATGAACTTGCGGAACCAAGAACAGGTTTGTAAAAACGTTTTTAACTCTCTAACGTTACTTGGAGGCTTCATGCTGTTCACGGCTTCAACCTTCTGCGGGTCGGGCTCAATACCATGTGAAGAAACAACATGCCCCAGATAATTAACCCTGTCTCTAGCAAAAACACACTTACTTCTGTTTGCTTTCAGATTAAACAGACGAAGACGATCAAACACCTGTTGAAGATCACGTAGGTGCTGATCCAAATTTGGCGAGATCACCAAAATGTCATCCAGATAGGCCAATACACAGATATTAGTAAGGCCAGACCGCATCCGGTCTATTAGACGTTGGAACGTCGCCGGAGCATTCTTCAAGCCAAAAGGCATGCGGCGAAATTGAAAGGTCCCAAACGGAGTTGTGAAAGCCGTCTTATGGCGATCCTCTGGAGCAACCATAGTCTGCCAATACCCTGCCTTCAAATCTATAGTAGACATTATGCAGTCCGCTTTAGTACTCTGCAATAATTCGTCGATTACGGGAAGAGGGTACTTATCAGTACGTGTTACATTGTTTAATTTACGGTAATCTACGCAAAATCTCACCTCACCGTTTTTCTTGGGTATTAACACCACGGGCGATGCCCACTCGGACTCCGCATCTTCGATAATGCCATCTTCAAGCATGGTTTCTATTTCTTTACGTATTATTTCCCTTTTGGACGGTGAAACACGGTACGGAGGGCTCGTTACTGGCGCCGCATCCCCTGTATCTATACGGTGCATAGCAAATGAAGTCGGTCCTCCCCCTGGAGTAAAAATGTCTTCATGGACATTCAGGAGATCGGAGAGCCGCTGCCGTTGCCCTAAGCTAAGGTGGGAACCTTCGTCATCGCGAAGACCTACAGAAGAGCAATTGATAGGCGGCAAAGACTTACACTCATATTCAATGGGTTGGGGCGTCTTATCACCTCTCAAAAACCAAATACCGCGCTGAAAATCTAAAACCATGCCAATGTCTTGTATAAAATTCATACCTAATAAACTTTCCGTCGCGTTAGGAAGCATAATAAAATCCACACCTAACGTTATCCCTCTCAAGGTTACGCGGACGTGCGCCACTTCAACGTTTTGTGCACATGCACGACCATCCGCATATTTAAGTTCAGTATAAACAGTATCTAACTTATGTCTATTCTTAATTAACAGGGATCTAAGGCTAACACTTCCTACACAATGTTTTGCACCAGTGTCTACTAAAACTTTACCACTAGCGCCATAAATTCCAATACTAATCACTGGGCGCAAACGCGAATCCATACAGTCTACACTTGCTGAAACCGAATGAAAGTCACTACTGGTTGACACCACGGGTTTATTCCCTTTACATATGGCGCAATTCGACCGAATCACTCCCGGTGCACCACATCCAAAACAAGTCAACTGGGGTATCGACTCCTTTTTACTTTGCTGATTTTTATATGACAACTTCTCACAAGCGTCTTTATTATGTCCAAATCGTTTACAATAGGAACACTTATCTCTATTTATAACCGGTACCTTAACTGATTCATTAGACTCGGCAGAAGAAGAGGCAGGTGGAATACCTTCTCTCGGACTGTACGCAACATTTGATCTCTGAGTTTGCGACAGATTAGGTCGATTGACTTCGACTCGACTCTCATCCATTAACTCTTCTATTCGTCTAGAATGCGACAATAACTCGGAAAAAGACGTGAAAGAACTTCGTGGTACCTTCTCTCGAATCCGTTTACTAAGAAGACCATATACCATATCCAATTTAACTTCTTCAGTTAAATGCGAAGGAGGCAACTGCGCAAATAAGGCTCTAATATTACAAATAAATATGTCAGTAGGCTCCTGAGTTTGCTCTTTACTAAAAATCCTCCTATAAATTTTATATGGTGGTAACTGAGGACCAAATGTTTGTTTAAGGAGCTCTATTGCCTCATGCCAACTTTGCGTGGTGGGTTTTACACCTTGCCACCACGTTGCGGCAAGATCCGTTAGCAGAATAGGAAGGCCTCGCAAAGCAATATTATCGTCCATATTCACACATTCTTTATATGTTTCAATTGCATCTATAAAAGCGAGTACATCACTGCCTTTTCCGCCATCGAAGCGTGAAGAACAAGAAGCAAAGTTACCTGATATAGCGGTTACCAATGGTGAAGAAGTTGGCGCGCGCAGCAATCCTAATATCTGCGCCAGCTGCTGATCCGACATTACCACTGGGTTACCGGGTACTTGCATGTGTGATGCCGACGACGGTGACTGCGCATACGGCGCAGTGGAGCAGGCCTCGTCCAGGCCAGTAAGCGGAGACGGCGGCGCATCCGACGCCGTTGGCGAGAGAGCCCTGGGCTCTCCAGCATTCTGCTGTGGTGCCTTCTGAGTCTCGTTACTATTCGCTCGCGATCGTGTAAGCACCATAATGATATAATATCAACACGCACTATTAAAACTATTTTAGTTCAACAGTCAACTTAAAAAAAACGTTTATACCTTGCACTTTATCCTTAACTAAAATACTATAACTATACAATAGTCAGTACTAAACTATACATGTTGAAACTTGTATTACTACACAAAACAAAACAATTTTTACAACACAATATAATATTCACTATTCAATATACAACAATATTCTAACAGAATAATATTATCAGAATAAGTAGTAAACAACACAACTATATTATTCAGAACGCTTAGTAGTAAGTATTTTTATTACTCAACACCTTATTTAAACATTAACAAAATTAAAATCTATACAACAGAGTTATATATGCAATTTAAAGTTTACACAAAATACTTCGATAGATATTATTAAGTATTAAACAATACGACCAAATAATAATATCATCATTCATAAGTAACAAACAAAACTTATTATTATATAAAACCATAGGTATAGAATACTAAAACTAAATCTATACAACAACGTATATAATGGTTTACACAAAATAAACAGTAAAGTAGTACAGTAGTAAAGTAGTAAATATATATATATATATAAAGTAGTAAAGTAGTAGTAGTAACAGTAGTAAAGTAACAGAAAGTATTATGCAATACGACAACTTATTATTATTAGTTTTACGTAGCAAACAAAACTTATTATTATTACTTAAAACTTTTAGACAATATAATATTATAGTAAAATTAAAATTTTACAACAGTGTAATATGTATTAACATAAGTAGGTACGTAAGTATTAACATAACGATTTACACAAAATACTTCGCTACCTATATATTATTATGCAATATGACAAAATAATAATATCTAACAAACTTATGTAGAAAATAACACGTAACTTATTGTTATTTAAACCATATACACTAATAATGTTAATTTCAGTTCGAATCGCGACACAATTCACAAACACTATATCATGAGTTAATATATGAAAACGATTGCATCATCCTATAGGTACGTACGACTTTTCAAATTCGGGCCGAACGTTGGGCTGCCATTTATAGGGCGCAATCATTAAAACTCATGTACTGGATCCACACATATGTATTTCGACTTCCAGGATGAATAGTGTTTAAGTATAATAATTAACAAATTATTAAAGGAATCAATGGTCACGAGTTGAGTGAGTGGCGTACGTCGGCGGGGCGCGTGTAAAACGTAACGCGGTTACTGGCTCACTGCCGGGGTGGAAGCGCGGGCGCCGTCAGGCGCACGGAAACGCGGGGAGCGTCGCGGGGGACAAGGGCGAATAGGGACGTTAGGTGCGGCGGGTATATTACTACGCGCTATAGTTATTTTAAAAAAGAATCATTTTTTTCTGTGACTTTTTTATTTTTCAATTTTCTAATATAGCTTTTAAATCTTATCCTTTAAGTTAAAATGAATTTGTTTTACTCTATTGCCTAAGTCCATGTATGTTTCAATTTTCAAAGTTTTCAAGTCAAGTGACAAATAAAAAGATATACCTACACATAAAAATATTTTCTTTTTTTTGCTATTTTAGCTATAATGAGCAAAAGAAAATAATGTCAAATCTGAACCATGTAATTCTGTTTAATATTATTATATTCCTTTCTATCTATACATATAATAAAACTGTAACTAAGTCGAATCTGTACGTTAAATATTTTTTGGAAAATCTAATTGAAATAGATATTATATCGATACAGAGTTCGAATCTATAGTTTTTAGAATTTTTGTCTGTCTGTCTTTCTTTCTGTCTGTCTGTCTGTCTGTCTGTCTGTCTGTTACCACATCTCGAGAAAACCACTGATCAGATTTTGATGAAATTTGGTATGATGATAGCTGGTTATCCGAGTCAACATATAGGATACTTTTTACCGCGGGAAAATATCTCATTTCTGAGAAAAAATACAAAAACTGCAATGTAAGAGTATATATATTTTATATATACTTAGGGGGTGTCCATTAATCACGTGATCTTTTTTTAGCATTTTTTAACCCCCCCTCCCCCATTGGTGATACGTAGTGAGGTTTAAGACCACCCCCCCCTCCCCCTTCTCAACATCACGTGTATTTTTAGTACCTACAACGAATCTTAAAATTTTCTGAATATTATGTTAATTTAAATACCTGTATTTATTGTACTGTATTAAACTATAATCTTATTTTATTCTGAAATTAAGGACCATAATAAAAATGTCTACACCAGGTTGCAAGTTTTTTTTTATTGCCATAACAATGATAATAAACGAAGAGTGTAATCATAGGAAAAACATGTATTGTACTAGTACATGAATATATTTAATGTATATTGTCCTCGAACCACGGATTAGCAAGACATTCTTCAACACTAACAACTGGATAAGCGTCTTGCAGGTGTTTGACGAAAAAATAAATACACGAGATATCTTACTACACCCCCCCCTCCCCCTTGTGTTATTTTCGTGATTTTTATCAAACCCCTCCCCCCCCTTTCAAGCCTCACGTGATTAATGGACAACCCCTTATATATAAAACCTAAGGATTTGGTTTTTCGTCACCTGAATGCGGGCAGAGCCGCGGGCAATGCTAGTCTATTATAAAAAAATAAATTAAATGAGACAATTTAATGCTAAAAAATTTACTACTTCTAAAACTTATGAATTATGACATTTTTATTGTAATAAATAATGCTTTATTCTACTGGTAAGTCTACCATACAATTGAAAGTCAAAACACGACTTATGTGTCCATTCATCGACCAAGTAACTGCTGTAGCGCTTTTCTGAAAAGAAAGTTGATTTTATCATTCCATTTTGACACAAAGTACTTTTGTTCGTAGCAATATTTCTTTATTACTTTGCAACATCAAATTTCAGCAAAAATATACGTATCTAATAAAAGCCAAATGCATTTTTTAATTTGTCTTCGTCAGTCAGGTTTTACGATTCCACCCGCATCTATCAACAGATATTTATCTATCCTGTTAGACTGTTTAGGTCTTATATTAAAACTAGTCTGGATGGATTAAAAGATTTTTATCATTTAGCTACATATTTTAAAATTACTTTTAAATAAATTAACGTAATTAAAATTATATGTAACAATAATTATATGCAATATCTATGCAGTAACTGCAGTTTTATATTAAGAAAAAAAAGAAAACTAATAAATTAAAAAATATTAGAATGAAATTGCTTTTGACCAAACTAAAAGATTAAGCAGATGTTTTTAACGGCCCATTTATATACGCCATTCGGCATAGACGGCTGCTGTTAATATAAATCTTATCTAAGCTATTTCAAGATTTCATTTTAGCTATGAACTTTTAATTTATGAAATTAATATTTACAGGATTCGATTAATTCATTTATAGAATTTGACTCTTTTATCATTCGGAAAAAGCGAGAAATTGTCTTGAGATTAAAAAAAAACAATCATTTACTACGTAATTTTACAAGCATCGTAAAGTTATATTAAATATTGTCAGTGTTCTCCAGGAGGAGTTATCCCCATCTTGGAGCGCATTTCTGCTGAGAAACATAACATTTAAAATTAAAATTTAGCTTTAAATAAACGTAATTTTATTATTAATTTCGCTTTAGAATACACGTTTTGGTTGTTGAATCACATGTTATCTAATAAACGGGTCATATTTAATCTTAAGAGATAAGTTAAATCTAAAACGAGTTTATTCATATCATTTCATATCATCATCAGTTTGTAATTATGAAAGCAACGGTGAAAGATTTCCTACCAACAAAGCGTAAAGTATACTCGTAGTGTTGATTTTCTATTACGAGCTTTTGGCTGCGCGGTTGTTATTTTATAACCGCTAATTAAATGTGACTTCCACTACGTTTGAGACTGCATTGTAAGTTCAAGTTATATAAAACTATAACTATAAATGGATCTATTCAATTGAATCTTTGATTTTGGTGTTTTTGTATGTCAAACATAAAAACATGTTTATTATATAATTTTTTTTACAGATAACACAAAAATCAATGTTTTTATCAATGAATGACTATATTTTGCGTAAATGGATAGAAAACAATTATTATAATTAATATATATTATAAATATCAAATAATCATACTTATAATTTAAAGAGATAAAGTTTGTAAGTTTGTGAATTAGTTTGTAGGAAGTAATCTCCGGAACTACTGAAACGATTTAGATGAAATTTGGCAAAATGATAATTTGAGTTTTTATCCAGGAAATCATCCTTTAAGAGGGTGAAAATGGGG